TTCCTGAGTGAGTTTGTCTCCAATTAGCTTGTGGCAAAACCAGTAGGACTTCTGTGTAGAGGAGTAAGAAATTGTGGTTGTCTGGGCAAGGCTTGGATTAGCAGTGGTAGAAGTAGTATAAGGATATAGTTCCACAACAGCTTGAATGATTCAAATAGTCTGATGTAGGGCAAGTAAAGCACTGGCGCCAGCAGTCAGACTCTTGCCCCCATCTGCAGAATTGTCATGACTTGTGAATACTACTTCAATTTGTGCCTTTTCATGCTGAGCTCTACTTAGCAAAATCCTGTGATAACAGAACACTTAAATTTTCAGAAAAAAGCAGGAAGGTTAGTTTGCAGAAGTTACTGCATAACTACCTCTGTATCATGTATCCTAACTATTTTTAGGTTCTTGAAGTTATTGCCTTCCTTCAAGACTTAAATTCCCTTAAAATAGCAGTCCCTAAGTCAGTGCAGTGATCATACAACTTCAAAGCATGACAACAGAATTGCTAAGAGACACCTTACCATCAGCTGACTCGACACTCTTGTCCCATCTGTTCTCTCAGGAAGCAAACATCTGTTGTAATCTAACCTGAACGATTCAGTTCAGGTACCTCTGCCTTTAAAGTACCATTTGTGATCTGTCAGTAAGTGCCTGTTGATAAAAGATCTCATGCCTGACCTAAAGTGGCTAAAGCAGTGAACTTGTTCTTTGGAGTGAGGCTAACACGAGTGTGGTGAGTTATATTTCTGGAGTAATTGAACCATTTTATCTAAGTCATTTGCTCTTAATTTCAATTGTGAACTAAAACCTGATGAGCAAGAGCCGTGCATCAGTATGTAAAGAATATTTTGTCCGTCTGTGTTGCTCTGAAAATGTTTGTTTAAACAGTTAATGAAGGAAACAGGTCAGTTCTGCAATGCTTAAGCTAGTAGTATGTCAAGTGAAAATAAACCTACCTCTGTTCTTTTTGCAGGTAAAAAACTGGGTTAAGGAATTAAGAAAAATGTTGGGAAATGAAATCTGTTTATGTATAGTAGGTAAGTTTTGTTGGGTTTTTTTTAACATGGGATTCTAATGACTGAAGCAGAAATGTTTCTTTTAATTAATACCATGTTCCAAACACTGCTTTAACAGCTTGTACACGTGAAGGGGTAAAACATAGGTTAGTTTAATATTTAAAATTCAGCTGGAGCTAGAAGTTTCAGTAGATCCCATTGAGGAAGGTAAGTTAGTTTTGAAAAACAAGCTGTTCAATGATACATCATGTCAGAAGTGCATGGTACAGACACTTCAGACTGTAGTTTAACAAAGAGAAGCATAAATCTCAAATGTGTATTATCCTTCTTGCAAGTACTCAAGCATTGTGATTTTTACTGTTCTCTGTGGTTCTCAGTCTCTTTTCATAATCAAGTGCTTGGGAGGTAGCATGAGTCTTAAAGCTTGGCTACTTCAATGCAAACAATGCAACAGAAATACTGGGTTTAGATTTAAAATCAGATCTAGTGATTAAAACACTTTCAGGATGATAGATGTATGGATCTTCTACAAAAACTACCTTTGCAGCACAAATAAGCTGCCTAATGAATTGCAGAAGAAAAGCAGAAGGCTGAATTGATGGATTATATGGATGTATTTAGCTGTCCTGGTATCTCTGCGGAAGTAGAACTTAATTGCCTGTAAATGCTTGAGTGAAAGGGCATTCTTTAAAACAAATTGTTGTGCTCCAAATTGAGACCTATGTAAGAGCTGGTCTTTACTGGGAGAGATTGTAAGAAAATGATGGTGTACAGTGATTGCATAACTGCTTTCTTTTGGGTAATTTTGGAGGATGAAGACTTGAAAAATTAACTTGTTTCCAACAGGTAACAAAATAGACTTGGAAAAAGAGAGACACGTTTCAGTGCAAGAAGCAGAAACGTAAGTCATACCAGTTATTAATAAAACAGTCATTGCAGGATTATGCTGGAGTAATAACTTGTGATGCTGTTTTAAGTGTTCTGTTAGTATCTGAGTCCTGGAATGCCCTTACTGACCAAAGTGTAACTTGAGAATTATACATTATTGAAGTCAACATTTGCTGTTTAAATGCATTTCTAGACATAACATTTTTCTTTTAATGAATCATGGCAGTGTTAAACACAATTCCCTTTTCACATTAAATCAGCATGTGTAGATTAACTCTGAACTTGGAATAAAACCTCTTGTGATCATCTTTTTGCTTAATGTAAAGTGGCTTAGAAAGATTAAGTCCTTCGGTACACTGAAGTTCTGTATCTGCATTCCTACAGGTATGCTGAGTCTGTTGGAGCAAAACACTATCATACTTCAGCTAAACAGAACAAAGGAATTGAAGAACTGTTTCTTGACCTTTGTAAAAGTAGGTATTGTCTAGTTTGGTAAAGGGCTTATTCACAAAATGCTCAAGGCTTCAGAATGCTTAAAACAATATAGAAAAGCCCTCATGTAAACTATTACTAAGAACTGACTTTGAGTCTACTTCAAGCCACCTGTATACTGTAACAGCTATGGAAGCTTGATGTATGGATGCTCACTGTATTGCAAATGCATGCTGTACTTTGAAAAAGTCTTTTGTAACTTTGTTGGAGCGCTGACTGTTGTTTCATTCAGTGTGTGTAAATAGTACCTTCACATCAAACTTCGTGTGACTGGTCTCACTGTTGCCTCTTTCAAAGATGTTCTTGAATGATGTCAATTACAAATCATAAACTCAAAGTTGTAATGATGCAAATTTGGCACAGTCTAAGCAAATGGTAAAAATCATGGAATGTAGGATAGAAGTGTTGTAACACAGAGAAGCTGTCCTATTCGTTTTGTTCTTATGATAGGAGAATTTAAGCAAAACTTCACGGTGAGTAGGTGGGGTTTGTTTTTGTTTTTTTTTTTTTAGGGGGGGCTGGTATATGTCTGGTGTGTGGGGTTTCTTGTTTGTTTTCTTTTTTAACAGAATGTTCTTGATATGGGTGGGTAAATCTAGCATCTAACTCTGAGCATCTAAGGTCTCCCTTAGGCAACAGGAGCTGCTGGATGTTTGGTGCTTTAGGAAGAAGATTTAAGTTCTTGCTGCTGTGCCATGTGATACCTGAGTACTTCTGCATAATAAATAGGAGAACCAGTCTTGCTGAATTTTCTCTGTGCATGTAATTCAAATAGATTAAGATCTCAAAGTCTTGTGTAAAAATGCAGTGGAATGTCATCTAATACATTTCTTCCTTTACAGGAATGATAGAAACTGCTCAAGTGGATGAAAGAGCAAGAGGCAATGGTTCCAGTCAGTCAGGAATAGCAAGGCGAGGTGTACAGATCATTGATGATGAGCCACAAGTACAGAGCAGTGGAGGGTGCTGTTCTTCTGGATAATTATAAAACTGTGCATCACTGCCCTCTCAATATGAAGACTGCCATATTCCAAGTCACACGTTCTTTACCAATGGAGTAATAGAATTAACAGTATTTAAAAATAATCACATGTAACACTGCAGAGACCTTAAGTGCTAAACTAGTGGCATCTGTGACCAGAGAATTGGCATTTTCTACAGTGGTTAACAAAGCAATTACCAATGGCCTTTTTACATATTTTTCTTTAATGAGGAATAATATGCATGTAGATAAGACCTACTTAAAGGCTTCATTTATATTCTTTTAAATCAGATCATTATTTAATAACTTATATACATTGTTGTTGGAATGGTATATGTTTTTGCAGCTCTTTGTATTTTGTGGTAGATTGAATTGTATCACTTTGAAAATGCAAATTGATTTTTTTTTTTTTTTAAATTAGCAGATACCTGAAGTAATATTTTTGCAGGGCCTTTACAAGCCTATAACTGTCAACTACTTTGATATATTCTGTTCATCCTGTATGCCAAGCTGGTAAAATACATTGTAAATTACATATTAAATATTTTATCTGCTTTTACAGTTGCAAGTGCAGAAATATGTACATCAGTCTTGTCAGTGATTGTGAAGTGAACAAGTCAGTGAAAGATGCAAGCTTTTCATATGTATTGTTGAATTGCTCATTCTATTCCCCCTACCTGAAAACAGCTTTTTTTGGTATATTCATAGCTACAGCATTTTTTTTAAGCCTTATCTGGCAAGCAGCAGTATTTAGAGTACCCCCTCAGTGGGAAGGGAATGCTTCCTTAGATTGCTGTTTAACAGTGAGGTGTTTGACTCCCAGCTACAACAGTTGGCGTATGCATATATCTTGCCTCTGCAGTTACTTTGGCCTCTCAGAATATCCCCAGAAAGTCAAAGCAACTTTAGCCCTCGTCTATCTGGTAGCTGGTAAACCAGGTGCATGGGAAACTCTTAAGCTGCATTAACGCATTTGTGTCCCAAAACAGCATTATAAACTACTAATGAGCATAATTTTTTACCCTATGTTGCAGGGCTTGAGTGAACAAATGAATTGGAATTAACTACAACCGCTTCTGATTTGGAGTGATTAAGTGGAAGATACGAAACTTGCCAGATGTAATTGTAACTTTGGGGGTACTAGACAGAACTGAACTTAGTCCTGACTTGCTCTTTCTCTTGTAAAGCATTTTGAAGCCCACATAAGCTTTGGGAGAAGGGTTTTCAGAAACAAAGTGTATAAACTACTATCCCAAAGGAACACAAATGGTGGTAGCTGAAACTTTAAAATGTTTTGTGCTCTGACTTTTTTTTTTTACTTAAGTTGTCATGCTTGGAAAAACAGTAAAGGTGATGTCTCTGACAAAATAGAATATTCCTTGGCCTTCCTTTTTCTGAAGGGTAGAATTAGTATTGCATATGAATGCATTCAGTGGTGTGGGTATGTTCCGATGCACAAAAGGAGGAGTAGTTACTAATCAGTCTGATGTGTAAGAGAAGTGTGCTGTCTTCAATTGGATTTTTATTTTCTCTGAAATAATAGACTGCTTTAATACAGACTAGTCCTGGTGCATTTTTTCTCCTTTCTTTCTACCTAAACTGTGGTGTAGATACTTTCTCTTACGCTACCATTGCTGTGCTCTTCTGACATGGTTATATGCATGATGGACAAGGGTGATCTGTTCATGCCAGTGAAGATAAGTTTCTTGACTGCACAGAGCTTTGGTATGAATCTAAAATTCAGTATTATATATGTATACATAGCAACACCATTAAGTTAACATTCTCATATCTAACTTAACAGTGAGCCTTTCCAAAGTTGAAAGCAGGACAGTTTGATCTAAAACCAGTACCTTCAAATCCATACATTTAGATGAAAGTCAGTCTTGTAAGTGATAAGATATTGATATGAGGAATTAAATTGGCAAGACTCTGTGTTCAAGACTGAATCTCCTCGTATTAGGAGTTCCAGATCTTTTTGATTCACATTTCGTTTTTTACAGAGATGAAAAAAAACCCAAACAACCTAACCTCAACTAGACTTGATAAGCAGATGAGTCATGAGAGCTTACCTATACTAGGGCATGTATGTTCTGTCCAAAGCAGAGCTTTCTCCACTTCATTGAAGTGGACAGATGCAATTCTGGTCTGGAAATTAATATTAGATGTTTACCCAAGATAATGTTATGTTTGACTACTTTGAAATAGAAGCAGTGTGTAGAATATATCTTTCTGCCTGCAGCTAGATAGTTTTTCTTTAGTGTATTCTGTGGTAGGGGCATTGTGTGACTTCTGTCAATTACAAAACTAAAAGTATTACTACTGAAAACTTAGGTGGAGGTAAGGAAGCTTACAATTTTGTATGATTAAAAATGGTTCTGGTTGCTATTAGCGAGATACTTTTTAAAATAAGTTCTCAGAAGTACTTTTCTTAATGAAGCTATGGCATGAAAAACACTCTCTGGAAACCTTCCTGTCTAAGCTGCAGTTTGGTTGCATTTTATTTATGGAATTTAAAACCTGTTCTTAGGGTATCATTGTGTTACTTTACAAAAGAAGTACAGCTTCATGAAGTCAGGGAAGTTGGTTTCCAAGACACAAGTGAAAACATTATGGATTGTTTAGACTGATTAACGTAAGACTTCAGCTATTCATTGTTAGCAAACAAAATACAACTGTTCCAGGAAAAAGCCTATTTATTGAAGATATCTGGAGTGTTCTTTGCATTAATATATAGGAAAACACAAATAGCTTGGTTTTCTATATTTGAGCAGGATCTTAAGTAACCTGGTGTTAGTACTGTGTAGCTTGGTTTTCAAGATTCTTGCGTTTGCTGGAATCTAGATAGCCTGGTTTGTATGTCTTAAGG